CAAGATGCTAGCAATCAGCCTGCCAGAGCCTGTCGGCACCACTCACCACGGAAGCTATCTTTAGGTGGTGGCATGTGTGAAGGCTCAAGCTTCCGTATCTACTGACGAGCCTCCAACTTAACACGTCTCAGCTGTAATAGCTCTCCTTGAGTCACTAGGATTTACCGGGGACACATTCTTGCCACGACTGAAGGCGTCTTCACCAGAACTTCTCTTTTACATCCCTGCCACATCCTGCTACGTGTTTTCTGTTCCTTCTCCATTCTCTTCCATCACTACTTCCCTTCGCACTCCCGCCCACTTTGCCCTTCTGACTCATCTCTGAATGAGAAGCCCTGTAGCAGGGTGGAGGAGGGAACAAACTCTGCAGCTTTAAATCCCAGCAGTCCTTCACTAGCTGTGTGACCTTGGACAGGTTACTTATCCTCTCTGTGCCTCAGTGTGCTCATCTGTAAAGTAGGGATACTAAGACCCTCATATCAAGCAAAGCTGTTGCTACTGCGGCTTTACCCGAGTTAGCCCTTACTGGTGTTATTTATTCCTGGGTGTCCTCAGCTGTCTGAGCATTCTCTTCCTCCTTCTTTGTCCCTGTCTGTTTCTCGTCATAAGAAAGCCAGGACCTCTGCCCTCTGCAACTGTCCCATTGTCCTGTTGTCTGACTTGGCTCCCGAGTAGCCAGGAGGTCTCGCTGCCTGCTTGTCCCCATGTGCCTTGGTCCCCTCCCTGTAATGGACATAGAGGACCTTCTGCCTCCCTGGCCGAGAGCTACCTAACCGTGGTGTTTCTCGTGCACCCACCCTTTTTGATGTAGGTGACTTTGTCCTCCCTCTGACCACGTGGCCCTCTGTGAACACCGTACTTTACACAGATGTGATGATCAGTGATTTCCCTTTATTTATTTATTTTTTCCTTTTTAATTATCAGAGAGTGTATGCACTTGCCAGGGAGAGAGAGATAAAAAAAGAAAGAGAACACCCTCCCTCTGCTGCCCCGCCGCCCCGCCGCCCCGATGGAGTGTGGTGGTGCCCAAATCCCTTCTTTTCCATTTTACTATCCCATCAGCATTTGGGACATATCCATGGGCCTGGTGTGCCTTTAAAGCTGCCAGGTCTGTGATTCGAACCTCAGCTGGCCATAGCGGGACCCAGCTCCCTTAACCATTAGGCTACAGAGCCAGATTTCATTCTTTTTTGAGAGAGAGAAACACAGGACAGCGATCTTCCCTGTAGTCTTCCCAGCCATCAGGATCACAAATACGCATGTCTGTGAGCCAGCCTGGGAATCGAACCCTAATCACCTGTGTGGCTCTCAGCTTTGTAGAGCATTGCGTTGCCACTGCACCACCATGGCTGAACCTCTTTCCTTTTTTTAGTTTTTAAAAACTTTATTACAGTTCATAAAAGATATTCGAGACACCCTTCCCACCTCCCACCCTCCTGCCTAAAAGGCTTAATCATTTTATTTTTTCTTGGCTAAATTGCGAATGTAGACGATGTGGTGTTGGTCAGGGCAGGCTGGAATCTGCCGCAGTGAGTACCTTTCATGCCGATTCCCACGTTCTTTCTGATTACTCCATTCCAGATCCGACCCCTGAGAGAAGTCTCACCAAGCCTGAGGTGGCTCCCAGGGTATTTCAATCTAATCTCTGCGTGACTTTATATTTTCCTCACAGGGAAAGAACGGAGTATGGTCAGCCCTCTCCCGGGAGTGAGCATTAAGAGCTACGCCGGCTACATCACTGTGAATGAGACGTACAACAGCAACCTCTTCTTCTGGTTCTTCCCGGCTCAGGTAGGCCTGCGAAGGCGCCCCGCGGAGAGGACACTGGTGCTCAAGAGCTGGCTCTGCACCGAGGGTAGGAGGGTTAGCCCGCGGATCCACAGGAGTTCCTTAAAAATTAAAGAAGTTTCTTTTTTTTATTTTCCTTTTTTCTAAAAATAAGTGTTAGCAGGCTCTTCATGGTGTTCCTGTTTATGGGCAGGAAACAAATGTTTGAGGAGGGCAGGGGTAGTCCAACTTTTACATTTCTTGTTGCCTTATTTGGAATATTAATCCTACCACCTCTTCCTGTCGCGTTCTTCTTCCTATCTTTTTATTGTTTTGTTCTAAAAATACTGGGACAAGGATGGGTGATAGGGAACTCAAGGAGGATAAGGAGTGGGAGATTTCAGAAGTTAGCAGGTAGCGCATGCCTGTGCATGTCTTCTGCAGGAACAAGATACTTTTTACCTTAGGGGTGCCATTGGGGGTTATTTGTGTAGATGCTGAGACACAGAAACAGATTTTATCCCTCTACAGGGCAATTTTCTATTTTAATTTATCAAATTGGATTTGCTTTAGAAGCCAGGGAAAGCGAAGAAAAAGCTATCCCTATGGAGGGTGGTATTTGTATTTGCATATGATTTACATAGAGTAATGTTGCATAAATAATAACTTTGTAAATTGCTTAACTCAGGATTGTTTGCAAGTTAAATTGTTTCTGTTGGCAGGGTTGGGTTATTTTTGTTTCAGAAATTTTTTAAAATTTTAAAATTTCTTATTTACATTGAATCACTATTCATCTTTATAGTATACGGTATGGCTTCCCAAAGCATGCATGTGGTGTGTGATAATCAAATCAAGGACTTTTTTTTTTTTTTTCATCTGTCTAATGTTTCCTCCTCTTTCACCTCACACCCACCTCCACCACTTACTCTCTACCAACTACTGTCCCCCCTTACTGTCACTAGCGTCCACACCTATCCTCACCACCATCACATCTTCAGATCTCTCAGCCTCTGCCATAGCACTCAGGAGAAATTGAGTGGGGATATAGAACGCGGGTCTTTCAAAGTCCAGGTCACTTAACTCAGCATAAGTCTTCTATAGGCATCCATTTTGACTCAAATGATAGGCTCTCATTGTTTCCTGTAGCTGTATAGTATTCCGTGATATACGTGTGCCACAGTTTTTAAACCCATTTATCAGTTTTTGGACACTTAGGTTGGTTCCACGCTTTAGCAATTGTAATTAATGCTTCAATAAGTATGGATATGCAGGTAGCTTTAAAGCTGAGTGTTTTCCTGTCCTTTGGGTGGATACCAGGGGTTGGGATTAGTGCACTCTCTAGAAGCTCCTGCCTGCCTTCCTCCTCTTCGAAGCTTGCACAAATGGGTGACTCCTCCTCTGTGTCCCTCTGGTGTGCTCCATAGTTACCTCACCTTGTCTGACCTTTGTCATCTTCCTCTCTCTTCTGAAAGGACTCTGTTATTACACTGGGCTCACCAGATTATATAAGATAATCTCTATTTTAAAGCCAATTGGTTAGCAGCCGTAATTCCACCAGGAACCTTAATTGGCCCTTGCCCTGTAGCCTAACACAGATTCTGGGGATTAGGGCATGGACATCTTTGGGGAGCCATTATTTTGCACAAATGGGTACTTGGAAAATGTTCCTAGGTTAGTGATGCTCTCTATGGTCTCTCTCAGTGACTCTCGCATGTTACTGTGGATAGCAGTTAGCTCTGGCTTTCCCCAGAGATTCTGACTTGCAGATTGGGAGAGGTCAGCAAGTTGCACAATTACCACGTGGACTATGCTTTGTGAAATCACTGCCACAGGCTAGGGGCCACTGCCTTCTGCCCAAAGCACCTGGCCCCAAAATGGCCCCCAGACCTCTCACCAGGAGGAAATGCCTGGAGCAGCTAAGCCCAGGTGGAGGGGGGTATTGTCCCTTATGGAGGGATAGAATGGGGGTGAGCAGCTTGTGGGAGTCAGCTTCCCTAATCTTATGTGATGTTGCTCTGAGCCCTGTTGGGTCTCAGCCTCCACTGGGCTTCCCCATCTTCCCACTCTCTGCTCCCTCACTGTCCCCCCACAACCAACCTGAAAACTGATTGCTTCCTCTTCTGCTTTGTTACCTGTTTATGATACTAGTAAGTTCCTCATTGACTTCTGAGTATTGAACCCTCTTGATCCAGGTTTCTAAAAACAGGAACGAATAGCAGGGGAAGTGAAGTGATTTGATGGAAACCAGACAAAAGTCCAGGTTGTGTTTTTGACCTCAGGTTGCCTCAGAGCAGGTGAAGGGCTTTGCTGAATTGCAGGAGATGTGCTGGGGCTGGAAAGCTAGGCAGGGGAGTGGGGTTGGGTTCTGCACACCTCACTGATTTCCAGACCAGGGTCTGAAACACCCCCTGCATGAAACAATGGCTGGGCTATGAGTCCCCCCATTTTAATGAAATGAAAACCTAACTGTGTGTCCCTTGACCAGATGACATCCTTTTGGGTCCTGAACTACAACCATAAACACATCCTAAAAAGATTCCAAAAGACATGAACACGAGGTTGCCACAGCAGAAAGGGTCTGTAAGCACAGAGTGTTCAACTGAAAGCGATAGACGAAGCTTCAGGGGTGAGAGGGGCAGAGATGAAAAGCTGGCCCCACAGTCAGGTGTCAGCATGTGGCGGCCAGGATAGATTATTCCCAGACCTCCCTACAGGGGAGCTCACATGCAGAGCCAGATAGCTGTGGCTTCTGGCTGTAAATTATGGAGCAGAACCAGTTTGGGTGAAGGAGATAAAGCACGTGAGGAGGAAAAGCAGTGGTCACCGCGATGGGGGAAGCGTTCCTCTCATCGGGCAGAACTATTAGTTTGTTGCCTGTCACAGGGAAACAACAGATACTGTCACCAGGAGAGAAACGGCCCCCAAACGCACTGCAGGTAGGGGAAATAAGAGATCCAGGAAGGATGCCACACTTGTAATATCCTCCGAGTATGTTTTTGGAATGCCGTTTCTCAAATTAGTTTTGTTTTCCTGTTATTTCTGTGAGACGCCCCTGTCATTGTATACAAATCGGAGCATAATGGATTCCAGAACTTGCAACTGGGGAGCAGTGGGAATACAGTCTGCAGGAGAAAGGTGTAGGCATTTTGCATGGGAAGAAAACTGTAATGAAGCCAAGAAAAATAGAACTATTAGGCTAGCTGCCGTTCTAACTAATAGAACTATCAGGGTAATTGAACATTGACTGTGTCACTAATGGTGTATGTATCTGGTGACAATGAAAGGTCAGTGTCAATCTCGAGTCAGCAGGGCACTGTGCACTTTCTTATTGAATCCCTAAGAGAACCCATGAGGAAGGGATTCATTTTATCCTATTTTGAAAAGTATTGTCATTTATGTCTTCTGTGTGTTTGTGTGTGTGTGGGTGAGAGAGAGAGAGGGAGAGAGAGAGAGAGAGAGAGAGAGGGAGGAGATGAGAAGAGAAGAGACAGTGCGGGAAAGAGACAGAGACAGAGACAGGAAGACAAACATCCCTAACCAGGTCTTCATACTGTGGTCAACCCTCTTCTCAGCTAGTCCTGATCATAGGCACATGCATGCCTGACTGGTGTGCTCAGGGAGGTCCTGAGATGTGAACCCAGAGCCTTCCTGTGTGGGTCCAGTTGCATTACTGCTGTGCTACTGCCTTTAGATGAGGAGGATGGCAGAGATTAAATAATTGGTCCCAAGCTACACAATTGGCAAAACAGGAAATCTTTGTTCTTGACTATGATGTGTTAGATCCCGAGAAAACTAGTCACTGGGGGCACTGGAGTGCAGAGATTAGAAGTGCAGCCTCTTCAGGTAGTCAGGCTTGGGTAGAGACCTTGGCCCTTCTACTTCCGCAGATGTGACCTCGAGCTCATTTCTTAACACCCCTGAGCACTGATTTTCTCATTTTAAAATGGAAATCAAAATAACTGCCTGACAATGGTTTTGAAACCTTGAGATAAGGTGTTGAAGCCCTTAGAGTGTGCCTGTTCCATACTAAGCATGATTGCTGTTGTCATCATTTAATTACAATTATTATTATTATTATTACTTTTTAAATTAGTAACATAAATACAGTCAGGAATTTACCAGTCACAATTTTGGAGGTTAAAGAAGCCAGGAAAAGAGAGGGAAATTCCAAATCGGAAAGACCTGAACCTCAGCCAAGGAGGTGGATTAATTGCTTACTGGGTAAGGAAATTACTAAGTGAAATTGTTTTTTTTTTTATTTTTTCACATTTAAGAAGATAAAAAAACATGTAGATGATTATTGTGTCAAGGTAGTATCCTTACTGGAAAAAGGGATCTGGTATTTGACTTTGTTTTATTTTTTAATTTTAATTTATTGCTTGCTATATGGTACATACACTTGCTGGAGACAGAGAGAGAGAAAGGAAGTGAGAAAGCATCGCCATGGGGACGGCCACACCGCAATCCCTTTTCCTCCATTGTCCTCTCAGGATTTGGGGGACATACATACAACACAACTTGGTGTGTCTGTCAAGTTGCCAGGTCCATAGCTTGAACCATATACTCAAGCCACCTTAACCTACACGCCATTGGCTGGTCCTTGAGTTTGCTTCAGAGTTTAGGAATGCAGGTTATTTGTTGGACACAGTTAGCTGGAATCTGCAGATTAATTATGTCAAATACCAAGGAGCCCAGACCTGAGGCGCTGGGAGTCAGGCCTAGTTTCCTTTACCAAGGTCTCCATCCCGCTCCTCTGGCCATGGGCAATAGCCCGATCCCTGGAATCTGAGTACCTGGTGATGTTGTCGCCTTGAGGAGTCAGCAGGGCAGCAACAGGGTGAGGCATGCGAGGCTCAAGGTGACGAAGGAGAAAGTGCTCACTCTCATGATTCTACAGGGTAGAGACCAGGACAGTAGAGACAGCACAGGACTGGGCTAACATGGGACCATGAGTCAGCAGTCCAGTAAGGGGCTCTGATGCTCCTCTTTCCAAACAAGGCCACCCTCTGGCTGTAGAGGAGCGT